CATACACACAGGCACACACAGACACACACACAGGCACACACACACAGGCACACACAGACACACACACAGGCACACACACACAGGCACACACAGGGGGACACACACACAGGCACACACCACTTTAATAATAACAAATACATTTTAAAAGTAAAATGGAAGGAAGGGATGAGCAAGAGGAAGAATAAAGAGTGCATTCTAGTCAGTGAGAAATTAGTGTCTAACGATGTTGGTCTTCCCCTCCCTCAAACCCATTGAAATAGAATTTCTCTGTGTAGCACTGGCTCTCCTGGAACACAGGCTGGCTGCCTCTGCCTCCGCCTCCCCACCGTTGGGATTAAAGGTGTGCATCACCACCACCTGACCATGTTGGCATATTTAATTGACCACCGATGTGAAAATAAAATGATCTCCCTAGAAAATCAGTAGAATGGTCCCCTTGTCGGGGACGGTTGACTTGGTTACAAAAGGACCTAGGTGCTGGGGTGCTGTCAGTATAGATAGCTTCTTGAGCTAGTGTGAAATAACTATTTTTTAAGGATTTATTTCTATGTCTGTGTTGATGTGGGTGTCATTTGTAGGCTGATACGTCTAGGGGCCAGAAGAGGTTGTCGGAACCCTGGAGCTGAAGTTACAGGTATGTGTAGGGAATCCTGCCTAGGCTTGCAAGGTGGGTGCTTGGATCTGAACTCTGGTCCTCAGGATTATGGAGCAAATGCTCTTAACTCAATCAGCTCTCCAGCCCTGAGTATTCGTTTGAATTCTTCCACCAACAGAAATAACTTCCAGGGTCATTAAAGTCCTAAGTGTTTGTTTTGGGATGAGTTCTGAAACACACCAGGAAGTCCTATTAGCATGCTAGCCAACACCAACTTCTGCTTTGCCTTTCATCTCACCATCTAATGGGTCCGCACCTGCTTTCTGTTTTATGTTGGGGTTTGAGCCTGGAGCCTCGCAATGCCTGAGCCAGCTCCGCAGCCCCAGCATGATACTGGCGGTGCCCCTTGTCCCTTCTCGGATGGGTTGCCAAGAAACAGATGGGTTTTTCTGTTTGTTGTAGCATAAATCCTGAAACGGAGGAGAGCTCGCTCCGCTCCACCCCCACACACACCTGTGCCTGACTTCCACTCCATTTACCCCCTGAAATGCTTAGAGCATCAGAGACCAGCTCCCAGCTGTACAGCATTGTTAACTGGGCACCTATTAAATACTGTAGGAGCTGGAGACCTGGGATACATTACTGTGTGGAGACTATTAAAATTAAAATAGGCCAAGTGTGGTGGTGGAAGCCTTGATTCTTAGCACCGGGGAGGCAGAGACAGATCTCTGTGAGTTAGAGGCCAGCCTGGTCTATATAGTGAGTTCCAGGACAGCCAGGGCTATGTAGAAAGACTCTTTGTCTCAAAAAAAAAAAAAAAAAAAAGGAAGAAAGGAAGGAAGGAAGAAAAATAAAGAAGGAAAGAAAGAAAGAAAAACAATTTTTAAATTTTAAAATTTACTTATTTTACAGGTATGGGTGTTTTGTTTGCCCATATGCCTATGCAACAGACACACGCTGGGTACCTCAGAAAGACTGGAGTTGCAAAAAGTTTTGAGCTCCCGTGTGAACGCTGGAGATCAAGCCCAGATTCGCTGCAAGAGCAGCCTGTGTGCTTAGCCAATGAGCCATCTCTCTAGCCCGATATTTTTTGTTTTGTTGTGGGTTTTCTTTCGTTTGTTTGTCTGAGACAGAATCTCACTGTGTGGCCTTGGTGGCCCTGGAGCTTGTTATGTACAGGAGGCTGGCCTCAAACTTATAAAGGTCCATCTGCCTCTACCTCTGCACGGAGCCTCAGGGGAGACCTCCATCAGACTGGCCAGCTCAGGAGGCCTCCATCAGACTGGCCCATAGTGGCCTGTAGTGGGTGGCATTTTCTTGATTAGTGATTGACAAGGGGAGGGTCAGCTCACTGTAGTTGGTGTCACCCTCGGGCAGGTGCCACTGGGTTGTGTAAGAAAACAGGTTGAGGGGCTGGAGAGATGGCTCAGTGGTTAAGAGCATAGACTGCTCTTCCAGAGGTCCTGAGTTCAATTCCCAGCAACCATATGGTGGCTCACAACCATCTGTAATGGGATCCGATGCCCTCTTCTGGTGTGTCTGAAGACAGTGATAGTGCATGCATATACATAAAATAAATAAATTAATTTTAAAAAAAAAGAAAACAGGTTGAAAAAGTCACAGAGAGCAAGCCAGTAAGCAGGGTTCTCCTGCTTCAGTTCCTGCCCCCGGGTCCCTGCCTTGATTTCCCTGGTGATGAACTCCGTCTGCCAGAACTGTCAGCTGAAACACACCCTTCCCTCCTCCACTTGCTTTTGGTCAGTGTTTTATCGCAGTGACAGAGAGCAGGTGCCAGCATTACAGCCCTATTGGTGTCATTTGTCTGTTTTCTTTTATTTATTTTGTTAATCTCCTACTCTAATTTGTAAATTAAATTTTCCAGGCCTGGGCACACACCTGTAATCCCAGCACTGGGAAGCAGAGGCAGGAGGATCGCTGTTCAAGGTCTGCCTAGACCAAATTAAGTTTGAAGCTAGTCTGGCCAAAATGAATGAATGAACGGATGACTGAATAAACAAACATTGAACTGAAATGAATCACAAGTGTGGGAGTATAAGATAAATACAATAATACTTGGGCTGTGTGCTGTCTGAGGCCCCAGTGGAAGGGCTTTGGAACACTTATCCCTCATGAATAAATGGAGACCAGTACATAAAGCAGACACAGCCTTACCAGCTGTTGAAAACCCTTCCTTGCTGTCTCTCCCAGCAACTCACTGTAGAGCTCAGAGAATACTGGGATGGCACTGTACCATCCACAGAAGCATCTTTCGCTCCCTCTGTGCTTCTAGCAAGGCAAAATCCTGAGTGTATTTTCGGAGGCTGAAGTAGTTTTAAAGGGAAAGGAACCCCAAAAAGTTCCAGTCCCTCCCCAATAGAGGAAACACCGCCTCAACCTTATTGCTGCCCAGAACTCAGAGCCCAGCCCTGTTGGGAAGCACTTAGCTCTGGAGGCTACTTGGCCAAGAAACCGAGGATGCCAGACAAACACTAGACAATAGCATGGCGGTAACTGCCAAGGACTCTCTCCCCTCCCTTCCCCTGGGCTGATTGCAAAGTGACTGTCACGACACTGGACCAAATAGCAAATCAGATTTTCCCCTCCAGGGTCACAGCAGCAGCTTTCCAGGGCCAGGCAGGCTAGAGTTAGGGCCCAGTTCTGTAACATACCTTCCCAGCCCTACTCCGGTACCCCATCTCCACATCTTCCCGTTTCTTTCACAAGGTGATGAAAAATCTTTTTTAAAAATCTGTGTTTTTTGCCGGGCGGTGGTGGCGCACGCCTTTAATCCCAGCACTCGGGAGGCAGAGGCAGGCGGATTTCTGAGTTCGAGGCCAGCCTGGTCTACAGAGTGAGTTCCAGGACAGCCCGGGCTATACAGAGAAACCCTGTCTCGAAAAACCAAAAAAAAAAAATCTGTGTTTTTGCCGGGCGGTGGTGGTGCACGCCTTTAATCCCAGCACTTGGGAGGCAGAGGCAGGCGGATTTCTGAGTTCGAGGCCAGCCTGGTCTACAGAGTGAGCTCCAGGACAGCCAGAACTACACAGAGAAACCCTGTCTCGGAAAAAAAAAAAAAAATCTGTGTTTTTTGTTTGCTTGAGACAGCTCCATTATGTAGTTCTGATCGTCCCGGAACTGGATCTATAGACCAGGCTAGCTTCGAACTTAAAAGAGATCTGTCTGCCTTTGCCTTCAAGTCCCACCAAGTCCAGCAATGGTCCCTATAAACTGCCTGTTTGCATTTTTAAATGTTACCAACCTATTTCCAAATGGTTAAATACTATTTGGCCTAGGCTGGAGATGTGCACAGAGCTCAGGTGGTAAAGTTTGTCTAGTATGCAGGAAGTCCTAGTTTCAATTCAATTCCCAGAGCCATATAAATCAGGCGTGGTGGTGCACACTTATAATCCCGGCACTTAGGCAGTAGACGCAATAAGACCCTAAGTTCAAGGCTGCCCTTCACTATACAGCAGTTTTAAGGCCAACCTGGGATACATGTTACCCTATTTCTAAATAGGCCAAACAAGGTACAGAGAGTGGCCAGCTCTGTTGAGGAACTGTGTAGAAGAGGTAATACTGGAGTTGCCCACGGGTGAATTTGGGCTGCCGAATAATCTGCATCTCTGGTTCTGAGAAGGAACCTTCCAGGGACTAACCGAGGCTCATCCAGGATCCTAATTATTTCACTTTTCCTCTTTGAGGCAAAGGAACAAAACTCAAAGCAAGCCCCTACATCCTCCTCAGGATGAATCAAGCTGGAGTTGGCGCCACACTCACCCGCCATGGCTCCAGATGTTGAGGGCGGATCGTAGTACCAAGTGCTGATTGGCTGAGCAGCTGGTTGCCAGGACAACCTTGAAGCACTTCGGAGAAATCCTTCGGCCCACAACCTAGGCTAGTGCGAGTGGTGCCGTGCTGGCTGAACACTTGCAGGCTTTATATTCCCCTTCGCTGGCCCACCCCGCTGTGCAGGAAAGCATGCGAGGGCGGGGCTGGATTCCGGAACCCAGAGGCGCTGTGGGGAAGATACCAAGTTATGAGCAGGGAGAAGCAGTTTAGGGCTGGACTAGGACTCCTGTATATGGAAATCAAAAGAGTTCCCCGGGAGCCGGGGAATGAGAGAATTTGAGGATATGGGTACATATTAGGTAAATTCATCTGCTCCCTGTCCCAAGACCTCCTGGGTACAAAATGGAAATTTCCAACAGACATTTTCGAGCTTCTTGGGACCTGCCTACATATCCGGCCTGTGCAGATTAGTCCTCGCTCAGCCCGCTCAGCCGTGGGAAGTCACCTTTGCACGCAAAGTGAAGGGTGGGGCAGTTGAAGGACGGGGCTCAAATTTTGCCAACTCACTGTGACTCTAGACTGAAAGAAAGCTCAGAGGGACTTGTCCTAGTGTGAATGAATTCGTTTCTTCTTTGCAGCGTTCTGATTCTGCTCTTAGAAACTGCCAAAACTGGCTGTACACGCTTGGGTCTCTTCAACTTTGTCCCCCAGTGACCAGGAAACCAGGAAGTCATCTGTGTGGCCCTCTAGGAAGCCAGAGCCTAGCTGATGGGAGACAGCAGCCACGGGGAAGTATTTCCATAACCACAGGTGAAACTTAATAACTTTACACAAAGATTTACATCAAAATATAGAACTGAACAAAAAAGATTTTAAATCTCTGTAAGTAAAAATTTTGTTAATCCGGCCGCGGTGACGCACGCCTTTAATCCCAGCAGTCAGGAGTGAGACGCAGGTAGAACTCTGTGAGTTAAAGGCCAGCCTAGTCTATGTAGTAAGTTCCAGGACAGTCAAGGCTACATGATTTGTCCTAAAACAAAACAAAAATGGTAAAGTTATTCTACAGAACTTGTAAGGGCTTGTCGGGAAGTCAAGGGGAGCTGTTAGGGTAACTGACTGCTTTTCCAGAGGACCCTTTTTAGTTCCCAGCACCTAATGGGACTGCCCACAACCACTTGTAACTCAGCTACAGGGGATCCAGCATCCATTCTCATCTGACCTCTGTGGGTGTCACACACACACACACACACACACACACATTCATTCTCTCTCTCTCTCTCTCTCTCTCTCTCTCTCTCTCTCTCTCTCTCTTTTTCTTTTAATGACAGGAAGACAATTTGTTGGAGATTGTGGGAGCCCTCACCACTTGCCTGGAAGGATCCCTTAGGTCTCAAATCTAGGACAAATGTCTAACCGAGGTGCCTGTTTAACATATCAAAGCAGACATGGCCACCAGATTCTCCCACCATCCTTCAGTCCCTATTTCTTACAGGTTATGGCTGGCATACTCTGCCCCCTACCCCGAACTCTCTAGCCCAGGAGCTGGGCTGCCTTCTCCAAGCAGTTCTTCCTCATATGATCCAGCCATTTTGTATATAATCTAGTCCTTTTTAACCTTCCCAGCTGCTTCCTCTTCTAGCTGTTGCCTCCCCATTCTCCTTATAGATGGTCCAGCTCAGGGCCATGAGCCCTCTGGACTCTCCCATGTCTCTGCCTCTGGCTAGGCTCTCCCCTTAAAGTCCTCCACCATACCTAGGAGTCGTCATGTCCTTCTTTCTTATTTTTTCACTCAGGGTCAGGAGTTCAAGGTCACCTTCAGTATAGAGATCAGGCCATACTCCTCTCTAAGACACTCCTATTGTATAAAAGCGGTGGTACTTCAGGCTGTGCACTGCCTTAGGAGACTCCATTGTATAAGGACCAATTATACCGGCTAGTAACATCCACCCAGCACACATTCATAAATGACTCACCCCAGAGGACACATCCTTAGGTTTATTGGGGAGACTTAGAGCTGTGGGGTCACATAGGATATCACAGATAAGTACTAGGGGAACCAAGAATGTTACACAAAGGAAGAGGCTGGGAGTAGATATGGTTAATACCCTGGTGACCGTTGTGCTATCTATGTGACCAAGACCACACCTCACCTGCCCCTTGTCTTGAACTTGTTTTCTCGGTCAATCTAGAGAATCCATTTTTTTTAAAGATTTATTTTTATTTATGAGTACACTGTAGCTGCTGTCTTCAGACACACCAGAAGAGGGCATCAAATCTCATTACAAATGGTTGTGAGCCATCATGTGGTTGCTGGGATTTGAACTCATGACCTCTGGAAGAGCAGTCAGTGCTCTTAACCACTGAGCCATCTCTCCAGCCCCCAAGAATCCATCTTATGGATGTCATTTGTACTTTCCAAAGAGTTTTGATGTCTTAAGCTTTGCATGGGGTTGAGTTAACTAGTCACCAGGAAACTTTGTCATCAGACTGTGCTGTGCTTAAATACGCCTGAAATAAACTATTGGGATCAGACTCTTGAAGTTTGAACCAACACCGGCTACTGAGTCGGGTTGAACCGAACCTCAGATCGTTACTCTGTTGGCCGTGGTATTCATAGGGACACCTGAAGCATAGATGCATTAAAATTATGGAGGGAAACCAGACCCAGGAGCTCACAGGACACCCCAAACTGAAAGGGTATGGTTCCCCAACACGGACTGCATAGAACGATACTCCCTTACCTGGCAAAGGCACGGCTCCATACCAACCTGTCATCTAAGAGTTGGTATGTGTGGCCGGAGCTGTGGACTCCCCTCTTCCGCTCTGTCCCTCACTGTTGATACAGTCTACTTCCTGTCCAGCCGCCTGTTTGCCCGTCTGGATCTGGACCTAACCCGTTGCTGTTTCCTGCTCCTGACCTGCTTCTTGCTCTGGGCCTGGCTCAGCCTTCTCACCTCACTACCGAATTCTGCAGCTTCCTTCTCAAACCTGACTCCAGCATCAGCCCTGCCGGAACTCCCTCCAGACACCAGTCTCGCTCCCTAACTATCTGTGGCGCTACTTTCTCAGCACAGTATTGAAACCTCTTGTGTTGCAGCAAATCTCCAATCCCAATACAAACAAAATACAAACCCGAAAATACAAACAACACCAGGACAATCCACAGCACCCTTGGGTTCTGCAGCAGCGCTCATTCCTTAACAGAGAGAGAGAGACAGAAACAGGAATAGAGAGATGGAGAGACAGAGACAGGGAGATAGAGAGATAGAGGTAGAGACAGAGAGAGATGAAGATGAGATAGAGAGGAGGGGGAGGGGGAGGGGAGACAGAGATAGAGATAAATGATAAAGATACATATTCACTGTGTGATGTGTGATATGAATTAATAGTAATTAAAATTGGAATAAAGCCAGGCAAGTTAATAAATACTTTTAATCGCATCACTTGGGTGCCAGAGGCAGGCAGATCTCTGAGTTTAAGGCCAGACTGATCCACATAGCTAGTTCTAGAACAGCCAGGGCTACATAGTGAGACCCTGTCTCAAAAACAAAGAAAGAAAAAAGTGTTGGAATAAAGACCCTGCGAGTGTGTGCCTTGGCCAAGACATTGTAACCGATTGCCATCATTAAAAGGGCTCAACCTTATGACTTTCCTGTTATCTGATAGATTCTGACACTGAGGGAAAGACACAAGTGCATGCTCCTGTTGCTAGTGACAGGCTAGTGACAGGCCTTGTGATGGATCTCAGTGGATTCTCACCCTGGTCAGGGCAACGCCGAAGTAACATGTCAGGATATAAGAAGGAAGAAAAGAACTATCAGCTGCAGCAGGCAAGAGGAACAAGGACAATTTTTAAAGCTGCTTTTTTCCCAAACAAAGAAAAGGTGAGAATGTATTAAGAAGGCCAACACTTGTTCCTATGGGGGAGGTACATTCCTGCACATGTCCAGGTTGTGCCATAAAGCTTTATCTGGAAATAAAAGGATACCCTTAACACAGCGACTGCCCTTGAAGGTGCTAGCCTTGCTTAACTACTAACAGTTGAAGCTACATGAGACCTCCCTTCAAAAAACAAAAATAGGGGTTGGGGATATAGCTTCATCTGTAGAGGCCATCTGCTTCCTCACTGGATGCTGTGTGCCCAGCCAGCTTAGGCTACCACGGCAGACTCTACCCTTAAACAATGAGCTTGAGTAGCATCCTCAGGCTGCTTCTGTCTCGGCCACAAATACCTAACACACCACATGACAATGTTGAACACTGGGTTTTCTGGTGTTTCCTTTAAGTTTGTGCCTGAGGGTCATCTCTCAGGTGTAAACAAATGCCAATGTAAAAACCACAGGGAATACGAGTTTACTCTGGAGCCATTTTGAGTGGCCATGGTCTGGGAACACTGATTCAGGGTACCCCAAATTCCATGTTCCAATGTGGGTGCAGCTTCACGGGATTTTTACAGAACAAAGTCAAAATTAAGGCAACTTTAAAGTACGTTGGGGTGAGTACCCTGGAGAGGTGGATACATCGATATGGGGGGATGTGTTTTATAGTCTAAGATGCTATCTGATAACATTCTCAGCTCTTGGATTGGCAGAAGTGACACTGCCATATCCACAGGGAGCTCGAACAGTCGTGGAGTCGGCATGGCTGTTTGATACAGTTCCAGGAAAGCTGAGGCGAACGCTGCAATCGCTGTCCTTCTGTTCCTCACTTTGAGGTTTTGGTCTCTGCGTGTTGCATTCTTGGGGACTTTCTGCATTATGATTCATTTTTATGTCTTTTCCTAGGAACTTTATGTCTGAGTCTTTTTAGGAAAAGCCTAAAATTAACTTTATCTGGCCATTATTTGGATGTCTCCCTTATGGCCCAGAGATCATTAAGCACAGATAAACACATGACGAGACGAGACCACTATTCCAGGAATCTTCTTAGCGTATCTGTCCCTGAACAAACTCAAACAGCATAATTAGTGTGGGCTAAACAGAGGCAAGTGACAAACTCTAACTGGCCAGGAGAAAAGGGGAAAGATTCAAGGCCTCCTTTTACAATGTGCTCAGAGATTTCTGAAAATATAAGATAGACGGTCACACAGGGTACACCCCTGGAGGAATAGAACTCAGCAACTAAGATTGATTGACTAAACATTTCCTATATTGTAACACAGATGCTGAA